TGTTGTTCACGTGTTTGGCGGAATTTAAATACTGTAATGGTTGGTGGTCTGACTGAATGACAAAAGGTTTGCCATAGAGGTAAATATGAAATTTTTGCACTGCCCAAACAAGTGCAAGGCATTCCCGTTCTATTGTTGAATAGTGGGTTTCTCGGGACAATAAATTACGACTTGCGTAAGCAACTGGATGCAGCACCTGGCCCTTTCCCATCTGGAGCAATACTGCGCCCAGGCTTGTATTGGAGGCATCCGTACGAAGAACGAACTCCTTCGAGAGGTCGGGAGCAAGGAGGATGGGAGCATCACCGAGCTTCTTCTTGAGGGCCGTAAACGCTTCCTCTTGATGTGCGCCCCATGAAACAGTGTGGCTTTGTCCCTTTCTTGTAAGGTCCGTCAGCGGCTTGGTCAGTTCGGCGTAGTTAGGTATAAACTTCCTGTAATAGCCGGTCAAGCCAAGAAACGACTGCACTGCTTTCTTGGTTGTAGGTCGTTTTGCGGCAAGAATCTTGTCTAGCGTTTTGAGAAGCGGTTCAACTGTAGTCTCCCCGATTCGATGTCCCAAGAAGGATATGCTTCGCTCTCCTATCTCACATTTACTTGGTTTTATGGTGAGGTGAGCTTGGTTAATTCGTTCAAAAACTTGTCTGAGGGTGTCGATGTGCTCTTGCCAAGTATCGGTCGCAATGATGACATCGTCGAAATAATGGTGAACGTTGTCGACACCACCCAGTACTGATCTCATATTTTTTGAGCATGTTGATATGAAAAATCTTGTTTTTCCCAAACACATCGATGACGTAGTCGACATCATTTTTCCGTTCGATGACTTGGAACGGCCCTTTCCACTGCATTAACAGCTTGTTGGAGTCAGTCGGGAGCAGAATTAAAACCTTGTTGCCTGGGCATAATTTTCTAGGGCGACTTTTCCTGTCATAATAGGTTTTCTGCTTCACACGAGCCTTCTCCAGCTGTTCATGGGCTATCTTGCAAGTCTCCTCTAGGCGATTGCGCAAATCAAAGACGTAGGTGTAAGTCGTCCGCGTTTCTGCGTCTAGCCCCTCATTTGTCCACAGTTCTCTCAGCACGGTTAGCGGTCCTCGGACGTGGCGGCCGTAAATGAGCTGAAACGGAGAGAACCCGAGGCTTGTCTGTGGAACTTCCCTATATGCAAAGAGTAGCGGAGCTAGGTACCTGTCCCAAGATCGAGGTCTCTCTTGGCACATTCTCTTTAGCATTGTCTTCAGGGTGCCATTAAATTTCTCCACGAGACCGTTCGCCATCGCATGATATGGGGTTGTCTTTAGCATCTTCACGGAGAGAAGCCTGCTAACCTCGTTCATTAATTCTGAGGTAAAACTTGCCCCTTGGTCGGTGACGATTTCCTTTGGCAAGCCGATGCGGGAAAAAATCTCGATGAGTGCTTCCGCAATGTGGACTGCATCGATTGCGGGCAATGCTACAGCGTCAGGGTAGCGAGTCGCAAAATCGATAAGTGTCAGAACATATCGGTTCCCACGGTCCGATCTTGGTGAAAATGGGCCGATTAAATCAACCGCGACCCTTTCAAAAGGTGTCCGGATAAGAGGCATGTTGCCTAGTGGTGCGACTCCAACTCTTCCTTTAGGGGTAGTTCTCTGGCACTTGTCGCAAGACTTGACAAAGCGCTTTACGTCTCCGTTCAGGTCAGGCCAATAAAATTCTTCTAGGACACGATCAGTAGTTCTTTTGATGCCTTGGTGTCCCGCCATGATACTGCCATGAGCAATGTCCAGTATGCCTACCCGGAACGCTTTCGGAGTGACCAGCTGTTTAAACGTCCTGCCAGTGGCAAGGCGGTAGCGTCGATAAAGCAATCCTTTATCTTCGATGAAATCGTAACAGTGGCCCTTTCCCGGTTTGAACTCTTTATTCACTTTAGCAAAGACAGCTTTGAGTGTCGGGTCATTTCGCTGTTCCTCGACGAGTTGGGCTCTGGTAACGTCAGGTAAGAGCGTTGTTGACACGTACAAAGGCCTGATATTTTCTTGACCTTGTTGATTGGCTTTGGTTTTTGCCACGCTTGAAGAAGCAGATCTTGAGGTGACAGGTGACTTGGTCGGGTGTGCTTGCGCAGGTAACTCATCCACCTGGGTATGAGTCGCCTGCTTCCAGTCAGAATCTGGATCGTATGGTCCTCTGACGCCTGGAAGATTTCCCAGCACAAGGTCATAGAGGGGTTGATCCATACAAGCCACTTTCAGCATCCCTGTGAAGTACGGCGTGTTGACTTGTACAATAGCTTCCGGGAGATGGCTAGTTGACCTGTCTAGGAGAACGACACTGATTTTCTTGCCTGTCAGGCACACATCAGGAACGAGCTCCCGTCGGACGATTGCCGTGTTGCATCCCGTATCGCGTAAGACTCGAACCTCTCTTCCTAGCAGCAGACCTTCGACCACTGGCATCCCGTCGGCCAGGAAACGTATTGTACCCTGCACGTTCTTGTCGTCGTGGTGACTTGAGCAAGGAATCTTCCCTCCTGGACGCTTGGCTGTTTTTCTAGCACCAGCCCGGCAGAGTCAGGTTCGCTAAATGCGCACGAAGAACTCGGTTTGTTGTTCCCATGCTGGTTTCGGCAAGTTTCTGTGACATGTCCCGTTTTACCGCACAACTTGCATTTCAGCATCTGCTTAGGTGGATTGCGGCAGTCAGGAGCCAAATGTCCGAAACGATGACACAGGATACACTTGAGTTGCGGTTTCCGCGACGCTTCGGTAGGCTTTCCACTGGATTCTTTCGCGGGGTCAGGACCTTTTCCTATATTAGTCAAATTCTGCGCCTCAAGGAAGCGATCCGTCAAATTAGCGAATTCATCTAGTGACTTGCACTCTCGCTCTTTTAAGAAAACAACCAGCTTTGGATGGCAACAACGCAAGAATTGCTCAGAGATTACGTGATCCCTTAGACCTTCATAGGTTTGGGATACGTTTGCCATGTCTATCCAATGGTCGAAATAACTGGTAATTCTTGCTGCTAACTGTCGTCCAGTTTCACCATCTGCTGCTCGTGCTTTCCGAAACTTATCTTGGTAGCCTTGAGCCGTAAACTGAAATCTCTGCAGTAGAGCTTTCTTTACTTTTTGGTAGTCCAGCGAATCAGCGGCAGTCATTCGGCCTATCACGGTTAACGCGTCACCCGTTAGGCACAGGCTAACAGCGAGACCCCATTTTTCTTGCGGCCAATCCTGTCCTGTGGCTACGCGCTCGAATCGCTGCAGATACGCGTGCAGATCATCGCGTTTCTCGTCAAATACAGGCAGTAACTTCTGCGGATTGAGGGGTGAGGAGGTGCTGGGCGCAGTCAAAGCGTCATTAGCTGCTACAGGCATATTCTGAGCTCCTTCCTGAATCTTTAGCTTAAGCTGCAGAATTTCACGCTGCCTCTCGTCAGCTTCTTTGGCTGCCTCTCGCTCTGCAGCTCTCTCATCCCTTAGCTTAGCCTGTTGGGCCTCAATCCACTTGTTTAGCTCTGCACCCGAGAACCCTAGTTGGAGCCATATAGCGGCGAGTTTTTCCAAGTCCATGGTGCAGTCTGAACGTGTGTCGGCCTCGAGCGAAACTGTCTTCTTTCACTGGTTTACCGAGCAGATCCTGGCAGGCTCGCCAGTTTGTGATGTTATTGGGGCAGGACCGCTCCAGAAAGAATCAGACAGCACGCCAGTGCACAAACACACGTCCAACTTCTATTGTACCCTTCACACATGGACAACCCACACATTACGAAGTTCCTAACACAAAAACACGCGGCTAAACTAAATGAATAAGTAGAACGTTCGGCCTACAGTTCAGGTCGTCGGGGTAGTAGCCTGGGCCGTCGTTGATGCCCCGTCGGCAACATTCAGTGGCGAAGTCGACGTTGGGCGGCGTCGTCACCTGCAGTGACGAAGTCGGGAGACGCAGGGTCGCCGCGTCGAACTCCAGTGGCTCAGCGCCACTGTCGACGAACTGGAGCCGACGACCCACGTGTTCCGGCGGCAGGGAGTTGTGCCCTTGAGCACCTGTAGTCCGCCTCGGAAACCCACGCCAGCCCTCCTGGAACAGCGGCGCAAGGGCAGGTTCAGGCACCCGGCGCCAGCTCTCCACGACCAGCGGGACAAGGACAGGTTCAGGAACCTGGCGCCAGCTCTCCTAGACCGGTCGTCTAGCGGAGGCTGAGCTGTCCACTTGGCTGGTACGAGTGTCGCGACGTGGCCTGGGTCGTACCTATGGGCCAGACGCCCAACGAGGTAGTCCTGCCTCGAACGCCGTACCTCGCGCACTGCCGAAGGCACGGGTCACGCACCCTCGAGGCCGCGCCTCACGAGCTGTCGTCTTCCTCGTAGGCACCGCACGGCACATACACGCACACATCACATCCTCTTCGCCACCGCACGGCACACTATTGTCGTTTTTTTAGTTTCTGTTTCGCGCCCGCGCAGCACATATTATGACAGTGGGCATAGTCAGGTATGTAGTAGCTGGAGCTACAGACGGAGGCGCTCACGGGCTGTTGTCATTGGTAGCCATGGCGGTGTGGCCATTGCAATGCTTCGTGGTGAAGACGGAGAACGTTCCACCTCCAGCAATTATGTTACAGAAAAGAAGACACGCTTATCGACAAGGCTGGCGATTAGATGTATTCAAAACGAGTGGTAATGGCGTGACCTGTTCACCAGCGATCGATCTGAGACCACCCTCTGTCTTCCTCGACCGGCACACACGCGCGTCGCCCCCTAGAATATCACAACACAGGCATGTAGCAATATTATAACCTAAAGTAACAACAAAGTTTTTCCTACTCGGTTCTGTCACAACCACATCTATACTTTTAGAGGGCAAGTAGTCTTTACCATGGTAAAGCACGTAGATCACAAACACCGACAGGCCAGTGTGTATAGCGGATTTAACCCTGCAAAGTGTGGTATTTTTAAGCTCCAGACACTCTAAGCTAATAAATGTACAAGCCAACAGTGGTCGACTCACCCGCACAGGATTGCTGGAAGGTCTCTGGCCCAGGAAAACAGGGTAAAGTCCTTTGCGAGCGTACGCATTACGTACCGCGCTGATGTCTTGCTCCCACAAGTCCCTGTTCAGCAGTTCGAAGCCGGTCAGGTTGGTGCCCGAATTTCGGAAGTGTGTGAGGTCCAGGGTATGCATGTCCTGGTTTGAATAAACATTGAATAAAAGCATGCAGACATTCTCCAAAACGATGAAACACGTGTATTCTATGTACCTTGGAAATGCAAGTTAGTTTTAGTGCATACAGCATTTCAGTAGACAAAATGAAGGTGAGCCGCAGGATCCTTTTTTTTTTTCTTTTCGCAAGCTGCAGTGGTATTGCATTGGCCTGTAATATATTTATGGAATTTTTGCTTATTTGGCAATCACCTTGAGATTGCGAAATACTAGTAGCATTGAAAGACAACAAGGAGCTCGTTTTGAATAGGCCAGGATTTTTTTAGATTTTGTAGCTTGAGGGAGTTTGCGAAATCAATATCTGCTTACAGATCGCTGTTAGGGCTTTCAATCGGATCCGAGAAAAAAGATTCTGGCAAAAATAAATGATGTACACCACACATTTTAAGCCTTTCCTATTTCCTGCAATGCATGCTACGATTGAATAAAAGTGTTACAAATGATAGGGCACAGGACATGTGTCGCAAAAGCTTAGGTGTCGAATTTATGTGGCGTGCAAACTTGTCATCATGATACTTGAAGGAAAAGAGCTCACAACTCACCAGTGTTGTCACAATGTAACTGTGATACTCAGTGACAAGTCCTAATTTCTGCGCCTGAAAATGAAAGTGACAGCTTTGGAAAACAAAGAAGCATTACGTGTATTGTGGTCGCTTCAATGAACTTCGAAGTGTAGTAGCACAGAGTTAAAATGACGGCGCTTGAAAGGCAAATGCTACAGTTTTTTTGGTAAGTGAAGAGAGAGAGAGAGAAGTAAACGTTTATTTCGAAACAGTGCCCCGAGCTATGCCCGATGTCACCCTGAGGTGGGAGGGCTCCTTAGTCCAGGAACACCCTGGCTTCTACAGCCCTCTTGGCCCTGGCGACAAGTTGTTGTTGGTCTTCTAGGTTCTCGAGAGCGAGCTCCCCCTCCCACGTTTCGGTTAGGTCGTCCGTCCGTCCTGCGTCATTATCAGTCGTGTGTGGTTGCAAATACGTCTGCGATACACTGGCATGCAAGGAGCAAGTGTGCAAGGGTGTCTGGTACGTTGCAAAGCGGGCTCATAAACCTATATCTTGTTAGGTAGAAATGGTGCATTGGGGCCCCATGTGTGTATGTGCTGCTTTGCAGGCGTCTCAGTATAACGCTTTCCTCTTTTGTCAATTTCGGGTGTGGTGGAGGGTATACTCGTCGCTCCAGCCTGTAATGCTGAAGTAACGATGAGTAGGTGTTTTGAACGGCTTACGCCTCTTTAACGATGGGTCCAATGTCTTGTGGGCAGGGGGCAGCCCGGCTGACGTGCTCGCGGGTAGCGACGTGGGCCGCTTCATTTCCCTGCAGAGTCTCGTCCTGGTACCCATAATTTACAATTGTATGGGAGTGGAGTGATTCGCCGTTTCAAAATATTTATGGCATTGGCTGAGATACGGCCCTTGGCGAAATTCGTGCAGGCGGCTTGCGAGTTGGTGTAAAGCACCGCTGCGTCTGTACATGTTGTGGTTGCTAGAGCGATTGCCGATTCTTCTGCGGCGTCTCAATTGAGTGCGTTGACCGTGGCCGACGCCAATACTCGGCCTTGAGAATCTACAACGCTGACAGCGTACGTGTTTCTATGCGGATACTTGGCCGCGTCAGTGTAGCGGGCGTCCGGGTCTTCCTTGAACTTTCGTTGAATAGCGTCAGCTCTAGCCTTGCGTCTACGTTTGTCGAAAGTAGGATGCATGTTGCGTGGAATCGGTGCGATGGACAGCGACTCTCTGACGTACCACGGGATGCGCTTTTTCCGGTCTGCATCGGCGGTGAAGGTATCGCTGTAGTTGAGGTACCGGAGCACCGACCTCCCCGTGGGTGTCAGCTTGAGCCTCTCCAGCTGGCTGTTCCTATGCGCTTCTATGAGCTCTTGCCACGTATTGTGGACGTCCATCTTTAGGAGACATGTGACAGAGGCTATTGGCGGAAGTTCCAGGGCTAGTTTAGTGGCCTTTCTTATCATGATATTAAGTTTTTTCCCAATTTCAGCGGTTTTTAAATTCAGGTACGGCGTGCCATACGTAATGTGGCTGGTCAACAGAGCTTGCATTATACGTAGCGTGTCGTGCTCTTCGAGTCCATTTCGTTTATTCGCGATCCTCTTGACTAGGTGCGTGAGTTGTGATAGTGTCCGTTGGAGTCTCGGTAGGGTGGCAGCTCCCGATCCATCCTTGTAGATGTGAACTCCAAGTACTCGCAGGGTCTCGACTTTTGAAATTAAGGTACCTTTCAGCATTACGCTAGGGTCGGGCTCGTTGTATAGAGGGTGTCTTCACTTTGAGGACGAGGTGCTCGGATTTCTCGGGGGCACAGCAGAGACCACAGTTTCTGAGATACCGTTCTCTGGTATCTACGGCGGTTTGTAGGCAGGTCTCTTGTCTCCCAGTGTTCGAAGCCCTGCTCCAGAGCGTGATGTCATCAGCATAGATTGCGTGCCGTAAATCTGGTATTTTGTCGAGAACTTTCGGCAGACTGATCATAGCCACATTGGAAAGTAACGGCGAGATGACCGAACCCTGCGGCGTGCCTTTTTTCGGTAGTTGGAAACTTTTGATGCGGATGTTGCCCACAGTTGCCGTACGGTCCGTCAGAAAGTTTCTCACATGCGTGTAGGTACTAATGCCGCAGCCAACGCCTTCGAGGTTGTTGAGGATCGCGTCGTTGCTGACGTTATCGAAGGCCGCCTTGACGTCGACTCCGAATATGGAGTACTTTCTTCGATGAGTGAGGTGATCAAGGAGGTCTTCTTTGAGTAGTAAGAGCACGTCATGCGTTAAAAGATGCTGCCTGAAGTCGAACATGGTGTCCGGTAGGTGCCTACTGTCTTCCAGGTACTGGGTCAAGCGGTCGTGCACCATGTGTTCGAACGGTTTTCCCATGCATGAGGTGAAAGAAATTGGACGTAGGTTCTCCATGCCATCTGATTTGTTAGGCTTAGGGATCATGGTGATTTCCGAGTGCTTCCATACCGCAGGTGGCTCTCCTTTATCCCAGCAGTCGTTGTAATATCGGAGAAGAGCCGTGGTGGCCTGGTGCGGTAGGTTGCGCAAGTGCTTGTTGACCATCCTGTTTATTCCGGGGCTGGTATTTCTTGTCAACTTCATTAGGGCTGTGTGCAGTTCAGCCTGGCTGAAGGGCCAATCGAGTTTAGTGTTTGGTGCGCTAGCGTATTCTTTGGTGTTAATTGAAGCCCGAGTGGGTGCATCGCCACAGAGCTTCTTTTGTATTTCTTTTAGGAGGTGTTCTTTGTACCAGCGTAGTTTCGAATAAGCCTCTGAAGGTGCTGCTTCTGTGCTGCTTTGGAGGGTTGCGTGGCTAGAAGTGTGCATAGCAGATGCCAGGTCTTCTTGGTACTCAGAGTCCCCTGCAGCTTGTCACAGAAAGCGTGCCAGTTCTGCCTGGCCAATTGGTTCGCATAATCTTGAAATTGCTCGGTAAGGAGAAAAATGCGCTTCCGTAACTTTCTGTTTAGTTTTTGCCACTTCCACCGTTTTAGAAGTCCTCTTCTAGCCTACCAAAGGTGGAGGAAATGTGCGTAACGGTGGGTGTATCGACGTCAAGCTGTATGTCCTTAGTGTAGCGTTCGGCTATCTTGAGCACATTCTTAAAGCAGTCTTCAATGTCGAATATGGTGGTTCCAACGTCGAGGTCATTCCTAAATGATTGCCATTCTGTTAACCGCGCTCTTCCAGTCTTGGTCTGTTTAAGAGTTTGCGCTATGGAGAGCTGGGTGATGGGATGATCACTACCTAAAGTTTCCGGTAGCACACTCCACTCTGCCCCAGTGACGTTCGCCGTAAATGTAAGATCAGGATTTGTAACTCAGCAGACGCTGTTCCCTATTCTGGTCTTCTGAAGAGGGTCGTTCTACAGGGTTAGTCTGCGATGTTGAGCAGTACCGTGAACCCTAGAACCCTTCTTCGTGGTGATATGATAGCCCCATAACGTGTGAGAGGCGTTAAAGTCTCACATTAATTTGATCTAGTGGCCATTCGTGCGTTTCCTGATTTCTCGTATGAAGTGATCGAAGTCTGGTAGTTGGTCTCATGGGGGGCTGTATATATTGGTCATGAAAAGACTTTGCTGCATCTTTCTTTCCAGCAGAATCTCTATTACTGTATGTTCTATCTGAGTGTCCTCGATTTCGTGTTCTTGCGTTAAAAGTGCTTTCTTGAAAACTATGGCAGTGCGTTGGGTTTGTGCGCAGGTCGTGTACCCTTGCTGTCTTACGTTCTGAGTGTTGGTTTCCTGAAGTGCAATGATGTCTGTTTGGTTAAGCTTGATGAATTCTTGTAGGCTTGCGCGTCGAGGGCGGTATGACCGAGCGTTCCATTGCCATATGCGTAAAGTTGAATGCTGTTTCTTATACTTATGGCTAGGGATTGCCATCTTCGATCGATTCGATGTCACGCCTGCGATCGCGACTCGGCGAGACTGAGCGAGAAGCATTGTGACTGTTCGCTCGTGCCTTTTTCCGAGTCATTTGGTGTGGGTTGTTCAAGCTGTCGAACTGTGCCATGGTTACGTAAGTTTTCTTCACGTGGGCGGTGAAATTGTTGACTTGCGCAGCAATCCCATCAATTTTGGCATTAAGCGTAGTGATCTTGTGTTCAAACATTGAGGCTGTTTTTTCTAGTGCTGACTGGACAATTTTTTCCATCGTGGCGTGCATGTTACTCAAGAAAGATTCTTCGAATTTCCTGCACCTTGCGTTCACTAGGGCTTGGACGCCTACTTTGGTCAGCGTCGTTGCCGGCTCTGTGCTTGAGTTTGCTTGTTCTTGATATTGTTGTTCTGGATTGTCCGAATGTCTTTGCTGATGCGTGCACTTTTCAAGTAGTTTGTCAATGAGCAATGTAATCGTTTTTTGACTCTGAAGCAGTTGATTTATGAGGCTTTGTTGGCTTTGCAGTTGGCTGTGCTGGTTCTGGAGCTTTTTTTCCTGGTTTTTTAGTTTATCTTCGTGAACCTGTATGGATGAGGTGTCCGACTTCGAGAAGGTTAAGTTACTGCTGTCGTTAGATCCACTTGCCATGGTAGCGTAGCTCACACGTTTAACGGAACGCGAGCGCGTGCGAGAGCGGGAGCGCGAACTGGAACGCAGTATTGATTTGGATCTGCTGCACGTGGAGACGCGGCCCTCATTGTCACTTTAAAAGGTAGCGGCCGATATGTTAACTTTAGGGAACTCTTTCCCGCTGGCGTTCCAGTTGTTGTCTATTTCTTGAAGTAGGCTGAGGCGCTCTTGTCTTACATTGTATGGCGGTGGACTTGGCTTTAGTCTTCTTTTGCGTTCCTTACTTGCTGTTTCGTGTCTTTCTCCGCAGATCTTGCAGATGGGTGCACAACTATGTCTCTGCGTTTGTCCGGCCTGGCCGCATTTATAGCAGAAATCTGGGATAGGTTTCACACAGACGTCTTGGCGGTGACCCGTATTGCCACAAGCTCGGCAATACTGCACTGACTTACGATATGGTCTGCAGCGGAAGTCCACGCTCTGGAAAGTTATGTAGTAGGGAACGTGTGGTCCTTCGAAGAAGACGACTGCCGCAGTCGATTGACCTAGCATTCGGGCGTGAGGAACTGTGTATCTTGCCGGTGCGCGAATACCAGCCATTAGTTTTGTGGTGCTCGTGCCGTGTATCAAGCCACTGATGACGCCTCTGGAGACATCATCTGGTGTTTGATGTTGCCATTTACAGTGCAGAAATTTCCTCCAAGCTGTATTTTCTGGATGCTTACCAGCTTCTTGGCGTCTTCTTTGGCGGTGGTGCTTGCGTTGATTCGGTTTTCCATTCTCTGGACTTGTACGCGTAACTTGTCGTTAAAGTCTTGCTGCGATAGTCCACTCACTCTGCCGATGGCATGCGTGACAGCGACGGTGTTCCATTTGGCGAAGTGAAGACCTGCTTGCGGGCGGTAGACAATCTTAAAGTCATCGAGCGGCAGAGGTTGCATCTTGGGCCTGCGTTGTCTCTGCGATGGTGATGACTTCAGCGTCTGCTCTGTGATAGGTGGCTGCTCTGTGGGTTGGTTGACCGGTGTCCTTGGATTGGCGGCAGCCTTCATGTTTCCCTTATTTCTCGTGATCCAAGCACTTTACGTTGCAATTGCTCTCCCACTGCCAGCGTCATAGGTCCACAAATTTTCTGTTGTTTTGTTTGCTTCCACTGGGCCAGCTTGCATTTCATTTCCTTCGTCTTGCTTGTTTCTTTGCATTTCGCCTGCTGCGGCTGCGTCTCGGCTCATTCTAAGAGCTTTTCGCCACTGCGAGCGCGAGCACTCGTGCCATGCCGTCAGGTGCGCCTGAGCGCGTTGTGCACGCGCCGCGCAGCTTTGCTAAGGAACGAACTTGGCGTTAGGCTTAATAAACTGAACGTGCGCTTGTCGGGAATTGAGTCTTGTATCTTGAGACAGGATGCACTCACCCAAAAGAAGCTAGTGTCCGCCGATTCCTCGTGTCTTGGCGGTTGAGGCTGTGAAACTCTTGAGTTTGTCACTGGCCTTGCTTCGGGTTAAAAAGCACGAAAAGCAGAAGCCCATACGAGACGCGTCTGGTCTATATGGCCCCCTAGCGGTGAAACTCGGCAAGTGAAAGTTAAAAAAGTATTGACGAATTCAGCATGCAGGTACAACTAACGAATTCATGAATTTTGTTTCGTTCACACTTAAAACCTCCTACACCTAAATTTCATTAAAGAAGTTCTCATAAAGACTCCTATGAAAAACAATGGTCATGTAAGATGACAATATCAGCAATGAAAAACTTGATCAATTTTTAAGAATGTTTTGAACATGTTGTCGAAGTATAACAGTACATTTTTATTCATTATTTACTACATACTGCGGACATCAGGCCCATGCGGTTTAGCCAAAACACAGTTAAAAAGTAAAACAATCTTGTTAGCTCAACTATACAGCCCTTAGCTTACATTTTTATGTAACCCACATGATGCAATAAAAGTGTGCAAAAGAAATGATACAGTGCGTTATTTGTGTGTTACAGTGTATTCGTGTGATACAGTGTGGTATTTATTTAATGAATTATGGTGCCCGAAGAAAAAAGAGAGTATTTGAGTCGGTCGGTTTGGGCGAAATAGTGGGTTAGAGCATTTGGGTGACGTTGGTGAGTAGGCCTCGTCAATAGTGGACTCAAGTATGCTGCCAGATTGCAAGCGAGATTTTCACTAAGTGGAAGTGTCGGAAGGTGAAGCCGCTGTGTTTTTTTTTTTTTGACGTGATTTAAGACTGTGGATGTCATTCGACTGTATCAGTTCTGTTAGATTTTTACTAAGTAGATGTGACAGAAAGTGAAGCCGCCATGTGTTTTTTTTTTGACGTGATTCAAGATTAGGGATCTCATTCGCCTGTATCAGTTCAGTTGGTTAGTCGAAAGTAGAAAGCATATTGTAAACAAATTGGATAGCCTGCCTTAGGACTCGTTTAAAGTTTTTTGTAGTACATTGTGTCTAGGCGTCCCAAGCAATGCAGGCGTACTCGAGCTTCGGGCAAATTAGGTAATAATGCGCAAGAAAATTAACAGAGACCGGAGCATGTTTAGGTTTTCATTTAAGAAAATATAGTTTTCTGAAGGCACAGAAAGATATATCTTCCACGTGAAATTTCCAGGAAAAGTTCATGCAAATTGTGACACCTAAATATTTATAGAGGACTAATTCAAGAGGAGAAGAGTCAGGCATATAATTATAGTACGGGGACGATTTCTTTTGGGAAATTGGTAAACGACCCTTTTTTCCGCATTCAAGGCAATTTCCCGGTTTAAGCATCATTAGAAAATGTGACTTAGACTTTTCTTTACGTCATCTTGGTCACTAACGCGGACAATTTTTTGAACAGTGCATAATCATAGGCGTGAATAGCCTTACTTGAACATTTGTTTTAACTTCATAAACAATGTCTTTCGCATACAAAAGAAACAACAAAGGACCCAGTACATTTCCCTGCGGTACTCGAGAGGTGACTGGCCGACAGGCTAAGTGGTGCCCACCTATATCCAAGAACTGCTCGAAATATTTTTAGGCATTCAGCTATCCAAGAAAGAAACAATTCAAGAATATTATATTTTCCTCGCCTAACAGTTAGTTTGACATGAGTTACCTTATTGAAAGCTCTGCTAAAGTCCAAAAGAAAATAAACTGATTTGATCTTCATTGACCTTAGCACAAGCAAAAGTATGAATGACAGTGAACTAATTTAGGGCTTTTGTAATAACATGTTCAATAATTTACAGCAAGAAGATGTTATTGAAATTGGATGATAGTTATTTACACGGAGGCAATGGTTGTACCATTTAGCTGCCTTTCTTAAAATAGCTCCACGGTGGCGAAGTTTCTGGTTACTGTACCGCTCTTCAGCATCTGCAGTGTAATATATTGCTAGTAAACGTCTATACCTCAATGGTCTTCTTTGTTTATAATCGTGCTTAATGTGGCATTCAAGCAATTTGTAACATTTATTTATTCTTAAAGTGATGTACGTATCCATAGAACTATTTTATTTATTAATACTACCCTGCCAGCGTTCACACTTGTGTGGCGCTAATAAAAAATTAACTTGAATGAGCAAACAGGTGAACATTGCAGCAATCTTACAACACAATAATCTGCTACAACGTCAATGTTCTGCTACGTCATCAACAAACATTTAAACGCGTTTGTTAGTATGGCCATCATACGGTGAGGCACACAAAACGAAGTTAGATGGTGTTTTGAAATACACCGTACAGATACAAGTGCACTTGTTTTGCTTTTAATTTCTGTTGTTATGAACATTTATGTATTTATAAGTTCTTGCTTTAATAATTTCGTGTTTTAATAAGTTTTTGCTTTATTAATTTGAGGTGAAGGACGCTCCAGTCAGGTAGTAGAACAGTAACGCGTAAATAGTTCCACATAAGCGAGCCGGCAGGCATTAGGCCCGACGCAACTGACATATAGGTGTGGTCTAGCAGTTAGATTTTTTGATGAGATATGGATGACCAGCTAATCAACTTGCCACAATGGTCGAGCTTTTGACCTTATTTTCTTCGTGGGGCACAAGTTCACCTAATTTTTAAAATAATATTTAAGTTTAGCCTCCATTGTTCTTGAAACTGCCTCACACTTCCGGTTGTTTCACAGCTGCATGATAAGCATAAATAATAGCACTCCCCTAGAACATATGTAATGACCACTGGAAGGAATGTTGGTTCAGCCGCCTATCGATGAAGCACGGTAAATATGTATTATGCAGCATATTTTCTTCTCAAGCATGATGTCTTGATACTTCAGTGTCTGCCAAAGAGGAAAGAGGCAGTAAAGAGTCCAGGCGCAAGAAATTTAGATGTTGTTCAGTGAACGCATAGAACTAGTGGAGGGTCCAAAGGTAGAGCTGCCCAAAGGGCCCAGGCACCAAAATGTCTGACCACATGGGGACCCCAATAGCCGCATTTACGTTATGCTACGAGCGTTACCATCTTCTGAGACGTGTGCTGAATTCACAATGGCATTCATTGTTAATTGCAACTCATTATTGTGCACTAACCAAACTATAGTTGTCAGTGCGCCTCAACAGAAAGCGCAGATGACCACGCATTCTAACTCCCATCAGAAGATGCGCCATAGGAATCGATCTTCACATTGAGTGGATATGGTGGCGCCATTTAGAATAAATGCACGGAAACGGTGCTATTCTGCCCCTTGAGTCTTGAAGAGAATAAAGTGCGTAGGTCACCTTCAATATTTATGAAAACTATTGAAATTATTATGTAGGCATTGTTTGCTCGTTTTTAACGTGCGAGAAATGTCCGTGTTTGATTCACATTACCAGTACTGCTGACGTTCAATGCCGAATGATTGTAGTTGATCTGTAAATATTGAACATGCATCAATAAAAATGGTAGTGCAATTGCAGTTTTCATGTGGTCTGCTGTTTCGACTGAGTTGTTCCTGTGGAGTCTGTGCTAACTCTATGAAATTGTGAGTCACTTTCTTTGAAGTCACGTGGCTTCTGCCGCATGAGTTACCTTACCAGATTTAGAACTTCGGCAAGTCTCTCCGCGGTCAGGTCCAGGACGAGATTGGTATCTCCAGACTTGGCTATTTCTCTAAGCAAGGGTCTTGGGTCTTCTTCTACTGTTAGCATGTGAAGGGACACCGGTACCAGCTTGGCGTCAGACGACAATCGCTGGTCGAGCAGCCTGCGTAGTTGAACCAGCGCTGGGGCGAAATGAAGAAAATATTGCCGACAATGGAGAAGTATAGCATAAGCAGATGAAAAATCGCCACTACCGACTAACTCCTCACTCAGTTCACGAGTTCAGTAAGACTTTTCTCAAATAAATACCTACTGTTGCTTTGCAGAATATTTTCATCTTTCTTTCCTTGCCCCTAGTCGTGTGTTTGAGCTGAATGCAATTCTTAATATTTTGCTGTATCTGGCCCTATTTTATGATTGTTTCCTTTCAGATTTGTTGAACAACAATATTAGGTGGTGTAATTACAGAGCATGGTCAGTGAATTCTCACTTCGTCTTACATTAGAAAAGAGTTCCAAGAGGTAAAGTAGGGCCCGTTTTCTTAACCACGGTTTACATTACATACGGGATTACCAACAAAAAGCCAGTAGTAGTAGTACTAGTAGTAGTAGTAGAAATAGTAGTTTCTGGAGTAGTATAGTAATACTTGCTGCAGTAGTAGTAGTATCAGTAGTAGTAGTATTAGTAGTAGTAGTGGTAGTAGTAGTAGTATTAGAGAATTTTAACATATACATAACCAGACAGGCAAGAAGGAGCATAATATTGTTGCAAGCTTTGACGAAGAAGAGGGAATGCTTCATGCAGGCGATGAAGATGAAGACTGTAATAGCTTTCGCGTTGTTGTTCGTGAGCTGCCGTCTTAGCTGAAGGACTCTCTGTGGACAGAATGAATACATTTTTCCCTTCTGTCTTTATTTCAGGTATACTCAATGCCGTGAAGTTTTGGTGGAGGTGCGGGTAGCGACACGGTATAACGAAACTCTGTATTGGACGACGGTTGATGCAACGCACGATGGCAGAAAGGCCGGCACCTGGAGTGGAAACCGCAACGAGAACAATTGTCATACCACAACTGAAAGACCGGTAAGTTCAATGGGACAGACAAAGTTGATATCGAAGAGTGATTGCCCATGTACGAACATACCAGAAAGAATTAGCACTGGAATGAAACGTTTATGTTAGCGAACGTCCTGTTTTACCTGAAAGGGACAGCCAAAGTGTGGTTCGAAAATCACGAGGCAGAAATCTGTAGCTGGGATTCGTGCAGAGAAGATGTGTGCCTCGTTCGGCAAATCAACTGGTCAGAAGATAATGGGCGAGAAAAAGCTAGCCTCTCGTGCACAAACGTCAATGTAATCCTACCTGCCTTAACTACACGACCTCCTCGCGTTTTGCCGCCAAGCGGACGACAGCATGGAGGAATCTGAAAAAGTGGTGCATATAATGAAAGGAATATCGGACGATGCATTCATACTCCTGATCTACAAGGGCTGTGACACGCTAGATATCATCGTCCGTGTGTTCCAGTGTTTCGAAACCGCCGAAAGTCGACGCATTGTCTATCGATTCTCCCCGACTTCCTCAGACTGCAGCAACGTCGTCTTGCGAAGAGGCCATCTGCCACAGGCACCCATTAACTGCGGAGCATGTGACAAAGATAGGGTGACGTGAACTCAAAGGTACCTTTCCTGCTTCCACAAGTTCTCATTCCTGTGATGCCGGCTCGCAAGTGGTACTACTAGTGTATGCCATTGTAGTTCAAGAGCTCTCGACAATTGGCCTAGTCTCTGTGTGCACCATCGTTCCTCAAGACCAATTGACCGTGGGCCACCACTTTCGTCCGCAAAAGGCCGACGCTTCTTCGCAGTCCCACCGTATGGAAGACGGCTGACGACCGGCCCATTTGTTTCCACTGTCGTCATATTGGTCACGTGGGCCGATATGGTAACAGCAGGTGGTATTGGCGTCAGGAATATTATCGGTTTATCACCCATAGGCAACGCATGGTCAATTCCAACCTCGCCATGAGTTACCTCAGACCACCAGTGATGACGCTTCTCCCATGCCTTGTCGTCAGTCAGCCTCACCGTATGGTCACCGGCCCCTCTCACCGCTATCTCGTCGCCCATTGTCTTGCGCGCCCCAGTTCCGCCCTCATGCATCGCTGACTTCCCGCCAGTCTTGGGAAAATTAGACGATGCAGCTCCCGAAGGTGATGCTGCATCGACAATCCGCCCGCTAACTCCTGTGACCAAACTGCAGACTAGACGCAACCTTATAGACGTTAGAGTGGAAGACGCTCTTGTTGTTGCTCTTGTGGACACAGGCGCCCACATATCAGTGATGAATTCGGAGCTCCACCGCCGCCTAAAAAAAGTTTTAACGCCGCTCATGATGCCACTCATCCGGGTTGCCGATGGTGAAACTTTTACCGTGGTTGGGATGTGCTTTGCTCGTATTAGTGTTTCTGACCGCGCCACCACTGTACTCTTTACCGTGCTCGAAAAGTGCTGCCACGACCTCATCCTCGGAATAAACTTTTAGGGTCGAAGCTCCTTATGGTTTAAGTCTGTCGCTCCTCCGTATGTATGTATGTATGTATGTACGTATGTATGTATGTATGTATGTATGTATGTATGTATGTATGTATGTATGTATGTATGTATGTATGTATGTATGTATGTATGTATGTATGTATGTATGTATGTATGTATGTATGTATCACAGCGATCACAAGTCTTCTTCCTTTTCTGTACTCTAGCTCCATGCCCACTGTCCTCATTACAGCATGTATGTATGTATGTATGTATGTATGTATGTATGTGTGTATGTATGTATGTATGTATGTATGTATGTATGTACGTATGTATGTATGTATGTATGTATGTATGTATGTATGTATGTACGTATGTATGTATGTATGTATGTATGTATGTAGCCACTAATAGCATATACGCGCTCTAGAGCGGGTCTGCACCACAAGGGTTGCGTGATGGGAGAAGGTGGTACTTGAAGTGTTCACTAGATGGATGCATGAACGGACGCATGGACGGACGGACAGACAGACTAGCAGATGGACGGATAGGTGAATGGACGTACGGACGGATGGACGCACGCACGGACAGACAGACGAATGGACGGACTCATGGACGGACGCATGGATTGGCGCACGAATGGCCAGAAGCAAGAACGAACGGACAGACGGTAGCACGGACGAGCTGAAGGACGCTTCGCCCCACTCATCATCATTTACTCCGTGGATATGATGCGATTTTTTTATCCACCCACTCTGCTATTATTGACTGTAGAAGCGAATTTTGAGCTCGATCTGCTATGTCATCAAGACGCTCCAGTAGCACCTCAACCACGTTTGTGCTCGTTTAAGTACGATTGCCTTGCGCCTCAAGCAGTTACGTATTTGACCTTGAGCTCGAGCCCTCCTATTCCCGACGTCAACTACGTGTTGGCTGCAATCATTGACGTTTTGATGGCTCGAAATGTTGCTGTTCTTCGCGTGGTTCTAACGGTTGCGATGAATCGAATATCTCTATCTGTACTGAACTTCACCTGGTGTGGGAAAGTTATCCCGGATGGCATGGCTCTAGCCAACGTGTCTCTTCTCACCGGAAATACTGCTTTTGCATTAACTTCCGACACTCCATTTTCGCCTGTCCCATCTTTCTCACAGAGCTTAGCTGATGACCACATTGGCAAGATCATCGCATCTGACCTCGCTTTAGCACAGAGAGCTGATATACGGCGTATCTTGAAATCCTTCCGGGACATGTGCGACTTTGACGACCGCTCTTTAAGTGAGACGTAGGTGGTCCTTCGCAACATTACGCTGGTGACTCCATACCAATCCTATGACGCCCTTATTACGTGTCTCATGCCGAAAGGCAGATAATACCGCATGAAGTTGACAAAATACCCACGAAAGATGTCATTGAGCCGTCCTGTAGACCATGGTCACTACCAGTCGGGCTTGTAAAAAAGAAGTATGACAGCTGGCACTTCTGCGTTGACTACCGTCACTTAAACGAGGTCACGCGAAAAGACGGCTGCCTATTGCCAATGATTGAAGGTGCCCTCGACTGCCTACACGGGTCTGCCTACTTCTCTATCGACTTGAGGTCGGGATACTGCTAGATTTCTGTCAATGACCAAGACCTGGAAAAAACATCATTTGTGACGCTGGACGGAGTTTTTTTAGTTTAAGGTAATGCTATTTGGTTTACGGGATGCTCCAGCTACGTTTGAAAGGTTGATGGACTCTCTGCTTCGTTGGTACAAATGGTCCACGTACCTTTGTTACCTTAAAGACGTCATCTTATTCTCAACGACTTCTGAAAGCCACCTTAACCGCCTGTCAGCTGTTCTTGAAGTTTTGAGCAGCGCAGGGTTCCAGCTCAGCTCTTCAAAGCGCCATTTGTCCACCGAGAAATCATTGTGCTCGACCACTTTTTCAGTACTCAAGGCACCCACCTGATTCTGACAAATTCGGGTCCTCAAAGATTTTCCCGTACCACGTTCCACGAAAGATGTACGCAGCTTTGTCGGAGTGTCTTCTTGCTTTCGACGTTTTGTCAAGAACTTCGCTAACATCGCTCGCCTTTAGACAGAACTGCTGAGGAAGGATATGCCGTTCTTTTTGGGTCCCCAAAAAGCTGAAGCATTTTGCAAACTTACTGCTTTGCTCAACTCCCCACCCATTTTAGCCCATTTCGTCCCATCAGCACTGGCTGAAATTCGCACCGACGCCAGCGGATATGGCGTTGGTGCAATTCTCGCCCAGTGGCAACGAGGACACAATCGCGTCATTGATTACGCCAGTTGATTCCTTCGTCTGTCCGATTGGAAGTTTTCTGAATGCAAGTCTGAATGCAAGTGTCCATAGGGTGTCCTTCAGCCGTGATGGCAGCACATGAACAACAACAGCGCGAGAGCTAATACATTCTTCGTCTTAATCGCCTCAATGAAGCATTCCCTCACGTTCGTCACATCTTGTAACAACACAGAAAACATATGCTTAATACACACCCTGTTCACTCCGCAATTTCTCGTGTCTGAACCTGGGCTCATCTAATATCTAATGTCATCCTATCGCTGTCATCTTCAATGAAATTAGGGCTTGACTAAATAACTCCTTTGCCAATGATATCACGCAGTCACTTTTGTTTACTTGAAAAGCCTAAGATTGCTTTATGGTGAGGTATCTAACGTGGATGTGCTTTTGTGAAAAGTGCTGCTCCGTAAGCAAATATGTTCGGCTCCATGCTCTTCGACAAGCGAAGAACACGCTTACGTGCTTACTGCATAAGTGCTTGGAACTTGAACGGACGATACATTCATTGCCTAGTTTCTAATATGCCAATTTGACATCGTTTACCTACTTTTCATTTACAGTACTCAACAATAAAGGACAAAAAAGAGGCTTGATCGAGGGCTCACCTCATCGTATGTTATACAAAGGCTAATAAAACCAACGGACTACGAAGCTAAGAAGCAAAGCATAGAGGACATTATTTGTACGTTTTGCCCATTATGCATACTATTGAGCGAATGGAAGTGAAACAAAGCGCAGAAATATCAGCTGATATCACGTAAGTGACTTGACTTGTTTAGCTTGAATATACAAAATAGTCACACACACTGCGCCTTGTATTTGTTCGCATTACTTTATTCACGCTAAGTTTGCTTTCATTCGGCACATCCCTTAATCTGTAGGTTGATTTTTAAAGGGTCTTCAGCATCTCTCAAAGAATGGTAGCATTTTTCACTGCATGAAATAATTTGTATTCGAGCCGTAACCTCAGTCAACCCGATGCCTTCTTACCCGTGCCTCACCGAAATGAAAACGCGGGACTTCGTTTTAAATAACTTCATTCATTCCTTCGTTCATTCACTATCTTCCCCATCTCTTCTTGTGGTACCTATTTTTTAACATAAAGTATACATTTATCTACTTTCAGTAACCACAATATTGTGCTATAGCCCAATGTATCTATGATAACTATTGGTATATAGTAGTAGTGTTCTACTATTTATGCTGCTAGTGTACCTAAATTTAGTAACCACACACTTTTTCCTAGCCTACTAATGTTCTGCTATTGTTGCCTAGTTTCACGCACTTTTAGTAACCACACTATTCTGCTACAGTCCTGCTAATCCTAGGTAACTATTGTATTATATATTATCATACTAATGTTCTAGTATTATTAGAGATGTCTCAATATTTACTATGACACCAGTTGAAATGTATCTTTAAGTTGCTTCAAAGTGTGCGCTTGTCCTTGTCTTTCTTCCGTCCGTGTTTTTTACCACGTAGTATACTCCGATCACGTGTCACAACCTGGACCAATCGTACACTTTGATCAAAGTCTAAGTGAAGCAACTTTCGCACGTTACCTTCTGGTCTTTCGTAGATTAGGGTGAAGTGGGTCCATCGCTGAGCTTCAACAAGATCCTGAAGGGCCCTGCTGAGTTCCACAGGAGATGGTGAGAGCGTGATTGACACCGAGTCGGGAGCGATTCGCCATTGCGTGTCATCATCACGGTGAGAATAGAAGTGTGTTATCCTGTGCCGGAAGCAAGCGGTGCGTACTAGAGAAGACGTTTCTCGTTGCAGTGGTGCCAGTACAGCCAGCACGCCTTGCTCCAGAAGTCCGCACACTGAGCCCATAGCAGAAGTATGCATACGTGATGTAATAGAGAAGCGTGTGCATTATTAAGCGCTCATTCATGGCATACAGAAAAGCACACAGGTGATTTTACCTATACCGAACATTTCCGTGCAATGAATAGGTACAGCGTGACACAATTCTACATTAAGCGCTGTATGGGGGAAACGTTTTTGATACCCAAAAATAATAATGGTTTCCTTTAGTCCACAATCTGCTTCCGCAAGGAGCTATTTTAGAATTTTTAGAATTGGGCAGTCACGGTCACAAGTATATCAACTGGTCTTGTGTTCATGCCGTTCCCACGACAAGATGCTGCAGTGACACGCCTTCATTAATGTTCATCACATCTTCGTCACGCGAAGCTACCACGTAAAAGTAATTGAGTAGCCGTGTTTCCTGCGTGCTGCCACAATTTCTATCGCGATATCGCAGTTGAAATTCACTGGAATATCTTTCAATATAGTAGAGTATCTGCTAATAATTCATTTTTTATGCAACTTTAGCTTCCAAAGCTGTTTGCCTTTCGACGTAGAGTAGGCGTCAAAAGACGACAGGAAACTCGCTGTCATAGAACTTGTATAAAGAAAGTAGGAACAGTCAGAATAAGCTTGCATTATATCGCCCTTTTGCATTAAATTGTATTATTTTGCGAAGCAAACCTAGCTTGTTTTTTGCCGTGAAAAAGAACCGTCACCCTTGTTTTTTTAAAGGATTCTTTTTAACCACTGCAAAACTTTGTGCGCATTAAGGTATGACAAAACTTTTGGCTTAGTTTGTCCTGACTTGTGTTTTTCGCAATTATTACCTGCTTCGAATGATTAAGAAGTGGATCCGCATGACTGAGCGCAAATCTTGAGAAAAGCCATCTGCCCTAAGTCAGTTAACTTGGTTGCCAAAACTTCCCGATGGCATCACTATCTAGGTCCCGCCATCATCAGGTTCACAGCGGCTGTCGCATCTATGGCTTAGCTGCATCTTAGATTAGACATTTAGGCTGTTGTTTGTGTGCATATATATGTATTCAGTGAACTATTTTCGAGGAACATGAATCCAAACAACACCCAGAAATTAGCTGTTGCACGGTTCCTCCTTAATGTGGACGCAAAAAAGAGATTAGAAACAAAACGCGGACACTGTGCGAGCATTCGTATGCGTCACTAAGTGACTTTCGAACTTTAGGCTGCACATAAATAACTATTTTTACGGGCATTCATATGTTGAAGACAGTATCCTTTACGGCACCTTAATTTAAAACTGTACCTGTCGCAGAATAAGAACGTAGGAGCGTCAGTGCAATTTTGCAGCTTTATCAAAATATCAAGTCTCGCACTTTGATGCATAACTGCGCTTTTTATTATGTTCACTTACAATGTAAAACGCGGCCTGACGGATTTGAAGAAAAAAAAAACATGTGGTGCGCTGATTAGGACCGCGAAACAAGTAGTGTTCCAGTTTGTGGCGCTGCTGCAGCCATTCGCCACACATACCTTATTATGCCACATCGTACCACAACGTTCCTATTCCTTATATATATGTGTGTATATGTGTACATTATATTGTTTTCACATGTCTGCACTAATGCTTTGAAATTTCGCGATTCACAATGCACTGTGTTTGAAATGCTACACTGACCAGGCCAAGAGGCCAGCTGCAAATAGCACGCCACTAACCGGCAAATACTTCACCTATTTTATTGTATTACCACCAAGAAAGTTTTGATATGTACACTTGTAGTATCAAATAGCAAAGCCCATAGTTAAAAAAGTGAATGTTGTGCTATGTTGTAGCCGATAGTACTTTATAAGATGAGAAAAAAACACTTTCGTACGTAGAGCGAAGTGTTTGAGGGGACGTATTTGTAAAAACTGTGCCAGAAACAGATATTACTTCTGCGATACCTTTCACGATGACCGCTGAAAGCTTTGACACAATATGCAGCAGTGAAAGACGTATGTAACTGTATCGTGTTCGGAGGTGAACGGCAGCATGATGTTTACAATTTCGCACAATGACCATAGTTGTTTTGGCCATCAAGAATGATGTATTGAAAGGAAATGTGCAGGGTGCGGTACTCACATTTCTTTGACGACCGCAGGATGTCTACTGCGTTCAAATCCACGGCAGAAAATTTTAAAGTCTCTGCCGCCACATTCGATGCCCCACTGATGTTGAGTCTCAGCTTTTCCAGCGCCTGCAACAGCCATGTCTGCTCCTCTGGGGACATGTTTTGATCGCACGCAAAACCTGAGTATTTACAAAAAAAAACACCAATGTTGCCATAATTATTACGACAGACATATACACTTACATATAATACTTAATGTAGACCGGCTGCCCTCAGCTATGCTTCCAGCGCCGCTTCCCCTGACAGCTCTGCTAAAATAAAGCCAGCACCGGAAACCGACAGCCTGTAAACACTATCAAGATCTCTAGGAAAACACGCGTAAGGACCGTGAGGTTTGTCATTTATATTTCTATTGACAATCATATTTCTCTATCTAAATTTCATGTTCATCTAGCGTCAACTACGAGTGCTCTAGGGTCAAGTGCAATCACCACACATGGACAGGTTTTTCTCTAACGGTGGCTCGCAAATATCCTATTTCTTGAAATAAAAGACGTGTTAGTTATTCAACCTGTCTGACGTTTGCGGTATTCTATACTTACAGGGGCCCATTCTTATAGTGCTGCCTCTGAACTGTGGAGAAAGACGACTTAAGCTTACATCATGGTCAGCCGCTGTGGTCTAGTGGCAAAGGTGCTCGACTGCCCGCTGGGCGCCGGATAAAATCTCGGCTGTGGTGGTTGCATTTTTGATGGAGGCCAAAACGCTGTGGGCCCATGTGCTCAGATTTGTGTGCACATTAAAGAACCCCAGGTGGTCGAAATTTCCGGAGCCCTCACTACTGTGTTTCTAATAATCTTATAGTTGCTTTGAGACGTTACACCCCACATATGAATCAATCCATTAATCAATCCATCAATAAACTTACCACCTCTCTCGCTAAAGAGAACCATTTGTAGATGTGAAACAGCAGGCGCTAACGCTTATACTGGCGCTGCCGTTGACAGAGGTGCTCATCGCGGCTTCGTACATGGGAAGTAAGGATGATCACGCCGAACAATGAATTTAGCTCAACCATAAAATGCTCCACTTCTAAAATGGGTGCACTCATTGTAAACTACTTTGGTTGCAAGCAGAGAGCTCATTATCACATCCGCTGTGTGGTGGATATCAAAACTGTGCGCTAAACAGAATAACGATATGCCTTCATGAAGCGTCATGTCATTGTGAATTTCTCAATTCTTAAATTGCGCTCAATAAAAATTGCACTCATAACAATTTTTATTCTTATGGAGACCATCTGAAACGTGGCATAACGCAAAACAAACACTAATTCATTGTGAAATTGCCTTCGCAAAAAACAGGTTGCGAAAATAATAACGCCCTACCAATTGGAGTGTAACTAACGCCTGCGCCAATTATCATAGTAGTAAATGTCAATCACCATCATATCTTTATTTACTTTATAGGTATGAAAACAAATGAATGCGTTGCAATTTTTCATTGCGAAAACAAATATATGGACACTGGACGCGCATTTTAGCGCCACTTCACTTTTAAATTATTAGTTATATACATAAATTTTTATGAAGTGACGTGAGGACGTGAGGAACATTCATCACATCACCATTTGTAGAATGAAAAGAACAACGTGCGTGTCATGTACCTAATAATAAATACGACAATGTCTTCCTTGTGCCGCGGTCGTTAATCCATTGTGATGTACTGCTAAATTCCTACGGCCTCACATGTGAGAGAAGTATAATAGTCCCAGGTAATATATTGTCTATATCGCAACATGCCTTTCATTTATCCAAGAATGTCGATACATACATGCATGACAAACATGCTATAGCGAACGTGTTTTTATAACATTAATCTCTTGATTTAGCTAGGCGCCAATAAATGCTCTTTATGCTTCCTCCCCGACTCCTTCGCATAACATCGATTTGCACGGTGTGTGGGATCACGCGAGCCAAGTACGCCTAAAACCAGATAAATTACTATTTAACAACACTTTAAAATGGTTTGGTTGTGTTTGGCGAAACGTGACAACATAATGTTTTATCCAAATCTGACTTTTTAGGTGGCTTGATATCAATTTTGCTCAGCTCGACTAATTATGATGAAATTCAACGGTTCCAAGTTATATTAGACGTGAAAATTGTTGTGTGGAAATGTTCGTTCTTGTAACATCGTTATTCGACACAAAATCGTCGCAATAAAAACACGTACGCGTTGATATTTTGATCGCCAAAACAAATGCGTCTTTTTGTAACAATACCTGTGGAGAGACGTAGCTGACACGAAGTGCTTGAGCTTTATTGTAGCCGACCGAGAGCTGCTGTGTAATTTATTAGGCCTATGGTGGTCTTCTTTATTCTTCTGCGGGATTTCACAAATAATAACGGATGACAACTATGCTCGCACCACGCGTCATGTATCTTTTGTATGTTGCAGTAGAACACCCTTTTGCAGGGGCGCTTCGGAATAGCTGCGCATTGAGTGATCACCAGGCGGACCACGTGTGGGAGCCACTGCCACCCACGTCTGCAGGCATGGTCACATGATCATCGATTTGAGCCTATCATTCTCACAAACGGCAATGCGAAGACGGCATCTCAAAGAGTAAGGCGAAATCCACTGCCTCTTTTTTTTCTAAAAATTATAGCATGCTTCTGATCTATTCGTACAGTCTGACACTTCATTGATATATTACCTTTGTGAAAAAAAGAAACAATCATTAAGCCGGACATGCAGGAGCACCAATCAAAATGAAAATGTGCTTCGTTTTGCCTCACACAGAGAGAATATTTCGAAACCACGCAAAAATATCAATTAGTACAGCTTTGAACAAATGTAGTGACCGTATTGCGACTATTTGACAACGTAGAAATTCGCAAAAGGCAGCGAACAGCTGTTTTAGAAATATCATGCGTGATATGTGACAGCGGAAATACACTTATGTTACGATCAGTCTATCTCGATTGATTCATATATGCCTGTTAGAATTTCATTTCGATTCAAATACGCATGTTAACATTCCGACTGTTAGCGCCGCAAGAAGCTTGGTTCCTTCGCAAGTATATTTACTACAATTATTATTGCCCCTAAAAATGTTAGGCTTGTTTCGTAAGACATTCGAATATGTTGATATCGCATTTAATGCTTTGCTATTTCGGCGATACTGTCACTTTTTTATGGTTTACTGGCAAATAAGCTATTCATGAATCTAACGTGCAAGGTGAGCTGACCTAAACCTACCCTTCATGTTTACACTAATATATAAATGAGCTAGAATAAACCGGCGTTGTTTATTCGCGGCAGGAAGACAGGGGATCCGTTATTTGCTTGTACAGATGAGAGCCTACTCGCCGTCATTGCTTTCAAAAACTCAGATGCAACGGCAACAAACGTACAAAGCGCTACGTATACCATGTGTGGTGATTCATGTTGAGCGCGGCTTTTTTGTGTCGCATGTTGTTTCGAACAGTATACATCGTTGATGTCGCTCGAAATATACGTGATACACCTTTGAGATTGATTTACTGTGTCAGCTTTCAGGTTTCGCTACCCATTTGAGGCATAAGCACACTCGTCTGCCACGGGTGAAAGACGACAGTGACCGATGCATGTTCCCGGTGCTAGTCTAAGGTCTGAGTATCGCCTTTTGTGCAATATAGTCTGCACTGTGCTTTACATTGCCTCCAATGAAGGTAGCAGAACAAACCTACGCGCTCTTATTGAGAATACAGTTTTTCGAAGGATCTCTGCTATGCGGGCTCTCTTTCTATCACTATCGGTGTGTAGACAGAACGTTTTGACTAGCATATAAAACGAGTTCAAGCTTGTAGACTGCGTCCTGGCTTGGCGCAGCTGTGCGCGAGTTGCAAGCGCTTCATCGGAATAATTTAGCTTTACAAAACATTGGAACTCAAACAACCACGGCCAGCAAAAAGTATACAATCACTCATAAACAAGTTAGACAAGAAGTTTCCAAGAGTAGTTTTTGGCTGAATGCACAACGTTGCCAGAGGCCGCCAGGTGCCGACGAAACTGTTTAATGCCGTTGCCTGAGTTCGGTGTATATTAGTGATTATATGCCACAACATTGGCAGGTTGCCGTATTGATTAAAAACATGTTGCAGCAATTTCAACTTAGTTGGAAGACTTTATGACAAACTTACTCATATTGGCAGCTCATTTTACATGCAAATTTTATGAAAGCTGTCCCAAGCATTATTGTGCTCTTGCTTGCTATCCAGCAGAATGGACAACGCGGTGAGATAACGGAAAGAGATAATAACATTCGTAAAAAAAACAACTTCTTTTTAGTTTTGAAGGCCCTAAAACTTTAGTGACGCAGAAGATTAGTAATGCGAATTAAGAGCTTCAGAGCTGTTATTGTTGGAAAACGTTTAGGAAAGAAGTGTCGAGAAGTCAACTTGCAAATATTTTCTTGGGAATGACATAGCCACTCTGGAGCGAGTGATCATTCTTACCAGTTATACCCTATTAACTCTTGGTGGTGTGGTATTGATATTGTGATAACTTGCGAGTGTGATGTTAATGGAACGTAATATTTTAAGTTTTTCAGTGGATGCTATAATTATTATACTACTATTATTACATAGACCGTTGTATAACCCAATGGCAAGTATGCAGTTTTAAAGAGGTTCGTTGATTATCACCATATTTGCAGGCACTAACCCCAAGTTAATAAAGCTGCAATGAAGCAACAATTGTGACAGATATTCGCACATGCCAGGCACTAGGTCAATGCTACTGATAGTTTTGAAATGACCTTTATTCAGAACAATGACAAGTTGAAATGAACTACTTAACGCTAAAAATGTACAACACCGATACAATTATTTGGTCCTTCTAACATTTTTCACGGAATAAACAGAAGAGACCACAAATCATGGTAATATGACAAGGGCACCGACTTTCTTCTGGTGCTCGTATTACAGCTGCGAAATCACAAAGGAAAATGAAAGATAGAAGAAAGCTGCGAGGACAATATCGTAGAACAACTCCAGTGGTAATTTTGTAGCCACAAATGTGACATGCCCTATTCATTAGGTCTATCTGCAACACGTATATAGCGGAGGCACTTTTGAACACTAAAAAAGCTTGAAAGAAAAAAATACTATTAT